GCCAGGTGGGCACCCAGGGCGGTGGCGTGGGCATTCCGTTCGGTGGGCTTTGCTCTGGGGCATCGGTGAAAATCGTCATTTTGGCTGGAGCCCTTACCTGTCCGTGGGCGTTGTGTCTCTCGCGCAGGACTCCTGGCGGCGGGCGATCAGCACTGGGGTCCAGGTGGGCATCCCCATGCCCTGCTTCACCACTGCCCTCTCCTTCTATGACGGATACAGACACGACATGCTGCCAGCCAACCTGATCCAGGTGAGCGCTGGGCAGAGGTGGGAGCCCTCACCGGGCGGGTACCTGCGGGGCGGGCGCCTGCGGGTGATCCTGACCAACCTCTTCTCGTTTTCCAGGCCCAGCGGGACTACTTTGGGGCTCACACCTACGAGCTCTTAGCCAGCCCAGGAAAGTTCATCCACACGAACTGGACAGGCCATGGCGGCAACGTGTCTTCCTCTTCGTACAACGCCTAGTCCGTCCCGTACCCACCGCACTCCATAGTCAGGGACATTCCATTTGCCACCCAGCACTGCTTCCACGGTCTGTGCCCTGCGCTCTGCTCAGATCTGTCAAAATAAAGTACCGTACGAGGCTCCTGAAAAGCCCGCCCGCTTCCTGTGGATAGTTCTGTGCGAGCAGCCCTGCCCCTGCCCTTGCCTCCTGGACTGACGGGACAGGGGGAGCAGCCCCTTGACGCCGTCACTGTCCACGGGTCCCGTGGATTTGGGAGGCCCTGCGTCTGCCCCGACAGGTCACAGAGAAGGGAAGGGCCTTGTGGGATCTGCTGGGACCTTTGTGTCATGCAGCTGAGTGCCCCTTTCCGCCCCTAATAAAGCTCGTCTTCCTCCAAACTTAGTGCCTGACATACCCGCCCCCATCGCGGAAAGGTCTGCGGCCGCTGCCTGACATTCGAATCCAGTTTGTTTCCTTCTAACTTTGTTTCCTCTTTGTTTTAAGAAAAGACTCCAGAATAATACAAGAACCATCCAAGGTAGGATAACGATTAACTTGGGAGAAGGACGAGGAGGCAGTAGGGAGTGGGGTACAGGGGACTTGAATGGATTGTTTTTTCCTAAGTTGGGCAGTGGCGATATGGATGTTCATTGTAACATTTCTTATGCCTTAATGTCGGGTATCTCACGATAAACATTTTGGAGGATTCCATAGAAATGATGTGCTCAGCTTGGTCTGGTTCATGCTCTTTCCCAGGCCTGACTCTGTTCGGTTCTTCGTGGGCCCATGGGTCTGGTGTGGGGTTTTTAGCATCCTAAGCCGGCCCCTAGAATCAGGCCTGTCCCTTCATCTCGTCAGAAGATAGCATACTGCGGACCCTGTGGATGGCCTGGTTCCCACGTGGTGGTTTTTCTCAGCAGCTAAACTCCGGGAGGCTAGAGGCTTCCCTGGGTGCGTTAGAGCCCAAGGGAGGCCTGAGACTAGAGCAGCAGCGTCCATGCTTTAACAGCTGGTGTCTGATCTGACCTCCGATCTCTCAGAAAGATGCGGGGGGCAGGGAGCAGACCTGGGAGACAGTCCTTCCTTCTCATTGAACGATCAGCTGTTGTAAATACATTTTTTAAAATTGATTTGAGAGAGGAAGGGAGAGAGAGAGAGAAAATCAATGCTAAGAGAATCATTGATTGGCTTCCTCCCACATGCCTAACATGGGATCGAGCCCGCAACCTGGGTATATGCCCTGACCAGGCATTGCAGCGTGAGCTCAGCCAGGCAGGTCTTACACATGCTTAGAGGCAGATGCGGAGCTGTCTTTTTAGGAGGGATAGAGACTTTCAGGATGTACACACAGTCACACACTGCATAACAGCGACGTCTAGGTGGATGACAGACAGCATATACGTCAGTGGTACACCACACAGCCCAGGTGTGTGGGGGGCTATACCATCTACAGCCCAGGTGCGTGGGGGGCTGGACCATCTACAGCCCAGGTGCGTGGGGGGGCTGGACCATCTACAGCCCAGGTGCGTGGGGGGCTGGACCATCTACAGCCCAGGTGCGTGGGGGGCTGGACCATCTACAGCCCAGGTGCGTGGGGGGCTGGACCATCTACAGCCCAGGTGCGTGGGGGGCTGGACCATCTACAGCCCAGGTGCGTGGGGGGCTGGACCATCTACAGCCCAGGTGCGTGGGGGGCTGGACCATCTACAGCCCAGGTGCGTGGGGGGCTGGACCATCTACAGCCCAGGTGCGTGGGGGGCTGGACCATCTACAGCCCAGGTGCGTGGGGGGCTGGACCATCTACAGCCCAGGTGCGTGGGGGGCTGTACCATCTACAGCCCAGGTGCGTGGGGGGCTGTACCATCTACAGCCCAGGTGCGTGGGGGGCTGTACCATCTACAGCCCAGGTGCGTGGGGGGCTGGACCATCTACAGCCCAGGTGCGTGGGGGGCTGGACCATCTACAGCCCAGGGGCGTGGGGGGCTGGACCATCTACAGCCCAGGTGCGTGGGGGGCTGGACCATCTACAGCCCAGGTGCGTGGGGGGCTGGACCATCTACAGCCCAGGTGCGTGGGGGGCTGGACCATCTACGATGTTCGCACAATGAAATCTCCTGACAACACATTTCTCAGAGTGTATCCCCATAAGTAAGTGGCGCACAAGTGTGTACTGTGCTCAGTATATACCATGCTTACAATGTAGTCATCTTATTTGCTGTTCCAGTTACTACTGAACAGCATATAACCGAACTCAGTGGCATAATATGGCCACCACTGTACTATTCTCCTAATTCTCTGTGTTAGGGATGTTTTGGTAGTTTGTTAATCCTCACCCGAGGATATTTTTCCATTGATTTTTTTAGAGCAGGAGAGGGAAAGACAGAAACATCAATGTGAGATAAACCAGGGTCCAGGCTGGGGAGGAGCCTGCAACCGAGGCACATGCCCTTGACCGGAATTGAACCCGGGACCCTTCAGTCAGCAGGCTGACACTCCATCCACTGAGCCAAACCGGCTAGGGCTGGGTTAGGAGTTTGGAATAGTGAGGGGGGGGGTGGGGGTGAGGGCGCCTCTCTGTCCCACGATGTCTGGGCCTTAGCTAGGAGGACTGGAAAGCCTGGTGGCGACTCCGGGGCTCGGATCACTTGGAGGTGTCTGTCTTCATTCTGGTGGTGCCTGCTGGCTGTTGGCTGGGACCTCGGCTGGGACTATCCTCGCCATGCACGTGGTCTTGGGCTACCTCAGCGCAAGGTGGCCTCAGGCTCAGCAAACTTCTTACTCGGTGGTTCAGGGCTCCCAAGGGGAGTGTTCCAGTGGACAAAGTGGACATGCATTGCCCTTTAAGACCTAGCCAGGGGTGTCACAGCATTGTTTTTGCCGCATGACCATCAGGAGAGAGACATATGCCCCCAGATGCCAGGGGAGGAGGGTTAGCCTTCCTCTCCATGGCGGAGTGGCAAGGTTCTAGGTAGAGGAGCAAGTGGGTCAGGAGACACTGTTTAGGGCTGGTTTTTTAAATCTGCCACATCTGCTTCCCTTGAAAAGGGCAGTTTGCTACATGGGGATGTTGGGAACCTGGGCCCTACTGAGGATCTCATACGGTGTAAACAGCATGTATAAGACTATAGTGGCATCCTGGCCGCTGTGGCGCAGGTGGCCGAGTGTCATCCTGCGCACCGAAAGGTTGCTGGTTTGATTCCCAGTCAGGACACACGCCCAGGTTGTGGGCTTCATCCCCAGCCAGGGGTGTGCGGGAGGCAGTTGATCGATGTCTTGTCATCACATCGATTTTTCTCTCCCTCTAAAAAGATCAATTAAAAATATTGTTAAAAGGAATGTAGTAGCTATCAGAGTGTATGCCAGGCACTGTTCTACATTCACTCATTTAATACAACACCCTCTGATGGAGGTGCTATCTTTATTATCCCCAATTCACAGACGAAGCACCTGGGTCTCCAGTAACTTGTCTCAGGTCACATAGCTCCTGTAGAATTGGAATTTGAACCCGGCAATCTGGTGCCAGAGTCCACGTGCTCAATGCGTGCACTTCATTTACTCATCGGCATCTTTACTGTACACCTACTGTGTGTCAGCACTCTGCCGGGTGCCATTTTCTAAGGGTGAGAAACGTCAAAAGTTCTGACTTCATGAGCTTACAACACACATATAACAGCTCATGGAGATGGATCTGGGAATCGGCATCCTTGTAGCACGATGTCAGGAAAAGTGAGTGACAACTACTGTTGCGCTAAGTGCTTATGGTCCCCTCTTTAATGCAGCCAAAGGGATCCAGGAAACCGCAAATGTCTGTCTTTGTCTTATTTATGGTGAGAGCAGAGACTGCAGCTAGACTGCTCATAATCAAATTTGCCACTTTCTAGCAGTTTTACCTCCAGCCAAGTCCTTCCACCTGTGGCCTGGCTCCCTCATATATAAAAGGGGTGGGGTACCTTCCTCTGAAGGCAGCTGAGAGCTAAAGTGAGCGCCTACCAAAGCCAGGTTAGTTCACCAGCGCCTGGGTTCCTGGCGTGGCTCGGTGCTGACATCTGGTGGCCAGTACACAGAACTCACTCCGTCCCGGAGGACAATCTTCCAACCACATACACTCCTTCCCTGTAATGCAATAGCTCAGCCCTGGGCCTTTCCGTCGGAGCCTGAAGTGCCTGGGCATTCCACAAGAGCCACTAGAATGATGTTCTTTTGCCCTGGGAAGCAGCTGCTTGAAAATGAGGTCACACGCCAGGCACAAAGCACAGAAAGGGCTGGGAAGCAGCTGTTACTATTTATCGAGCACTTAGGTGAGCCATTTAAACCTCACAACTACGCTGAGGTTGGCACTGTGACCCCCACTTTCAGAAGGAGTGGCCGAGGCTTGGAGAGGCTCTGCGACTTGCTCAGGGTCACAAAGCTGGTGAAAGAGGCTGGGCTCTGAACCCAGGTCTGGCCCTAGGCAGGAGCTCCTCACGGCCTCCTCACCCCACCCCACCTCCCTCCCTCCCAGCCCACCCTCTTTCCTCCCCCAGCTGCAGGGGTTAGGGAGCAGGGCGGGCTACAGGAGGGCAGAGAGGGCCTGCTAAGGCAGGGACACGGATGGGGGAAGTCCCGCCAGAGGTCTGTCCCCCATGCCACTGAGGACCAGGAGACTGGAGACTGGGATTCCCCTGGGGAGTGGTGGGGGGAGAGGCCACAGGTGCCCGTCTCTCAGAGGAAGTGGAAATTAATCAGAAGGCCGATTCCTCCAGAAAGAGGTCTCGCCTTCTCAGCCCTTTGCACACTTTGGGGGGTGGTTACGAGGATGAAGAGGACGAGGAGTGGTTTGTGTTTACCTTTAATTATAAAAGAAGTATGAGCTTTTTAAAAATTCAGATCACAGAAATGTATAAAGTGAAAAATTTGAGAGCCCTTATCTGCCTTCTCCTGGACCCATTGCTCAGAAGTTAACTAACTGTGTTTGTCATCTATTCTTCCTGCTGTTTTTCTATTCCTTTCAAATATCTCCCCCCCACCCGAGATCTGTATGCTTTTTTCCTTAAACAAAAATAACATTATTTGGTAACACCGGTCTGCAAGCTGTTTTCGCTCAGTGTCATAGAGGACATCATTCTAAAGCTGGCAATTTAAATGCATTAGAGCCTTGCGTTTCCAAGAACCCTTTACAGATTATTTTGAAGAATAACATCCTTAGGTTACGTGAATAATCAATCCTAATATCTCCGTATATTGAGCTCTGCCTCCTCAGCCCTGCTGCTTAGGATTCAACTGCGATGGGGGAAACTGCCGGGCGAGACATCTAACGGAAGCCCAGTGTGATTTCTGCTTTGTTTTTGTTTTTTTAAATCATCACCAGGGGATTTTTTATTTTCATTGATTTCAGAGAGAGTGGGAGGGAGGGAAGGAGAGAGAGAGAGAAACATGGATTGGTTGTCTTCTTGCACACACTCCCCAGGGGCCCTGCGTTGGATCTGCAACCCAGGTATGCGCCCTAACTGGAACTGAGCCCAAGACCTTTTTGGTGACAGGACGATGCTCTAACCACTGACCCACAGTAGTTTGAGATTGGCAATGATGGGAGTTTTTACGCCATGGAAAACGGCAAGTGCTACAAATCCGGGTTTGATTTGTTGACTGTTAATGTGTACCTTGTCTGGAGCCTTTACATTGTGAATGGCACAAAACATTGAGAAAATAAATGTTGGGTTACTGTCCCATTCAGCGCGTACTGAATGGGATAGTAACCCAACATTTACCCGTGGTCTGGTTTTGACACTATTGTTGGTGGCTGAATTACAAAAACAACTTGGATCTTGCAAAGCTCAGGGAAGTTAGAGCTGCATGGAAGTTAGCGTAAAGAATGCTGCGGGACAGCCCTGGCCAGTCTTCCCAGTGGGTTGGGCATCATCCCGTGAAAGCTTGCTGGTTCGATTCTGGGTCAGGGCACATGCCCGGGTAGTGGGCTCCATCCCCGGCAGGGGGCGTGCAGGAGGCAGCCGATGGTTGTCTCACTCTCCCTTTCTCTCTCTCTTAAAAAAAGAATGTTGGGGAAACACTCACGTTCGTCCTTTCCCAGGCACTGAGCTGGTCCGGGGTCCGCAGGGAGCGTGGCCCCTCGCCCAGTAAAGCAGAAGCGGGCAGGAGATGGACTGCGAAGGGCCCGCCCCAGAGCGGCCGCCAGGGGGCGCGCGGCACCGGGAGCTTCGCGCTTTGTCCCTCCGCGCGGCCGGTCGCCGGGCGCCGCGGCGGGAAAATCTGACTGCGCCGGCGTGTCGCCCTGTTGACGCACTCGCGCGTCCCGGACCCGCCGCGGTGATGGAGGCGGAGAAGGAGGGGGCCGAGGAGCAGCAGGGACTCTTTTACCGACAGGTACCGGGAAACCGCGTCCCGGCTGGGCTGGGCGAGGACGGCGGGGGGTTTGTGGAGTCGGGAAGCCCTCGGAGGCCTCGGCGCGGCCTGGCCTCGGTGTCCGCCTCCCCGGGCGGCTGCGGCTGCGGCGCGGGAGCCTGCGCGTGCGCCAGCCGGGCTCCTCGGGGCCGGGCGGGGTGGGGGGCGGCCCAGGGTGGGTGCTGGGAGACGGTTTCCATGGTGACGCGGTGGGAGGACGATGCCGATGGTGTGCGGCTCCCCCGGGGCTGGCGGCGGGGCTGGCCTCCGGCTGTGGGGCGGCCTCCGGCTCCCTCCTCAGCCCGGGCTGTGCTGGGTGGGCCGTGAGCGTGGAAGGGAGTCGGGCCAAGGACGAGCCCCAACGTGCTGGCCCCCGCGAGCGGCGCCCGCTCCCTCCCGCCTCTCCCGCCGTGGAGGAGCCGGCCTCGGGGCTGCAGGCGCACCGGCGCCGTCGGGTTGCAGGGTTCACCCTCCCGGGTGCGTCGCATTGCGGCCCCGCGACTCGCGGACGGCGGTGACTTTGCCAAACTCAGTGTCCTTATGGGGAGAGGCGGGTGGTAGCGGGGTTCAGCCCGCCCTCTCCTCGCCCAGGAGTGAGGATGAGCGGAGTGGAGCGGAGCGGCGCTGGGGGGAGGCGAGCCGCGAGGCCATGGCAGCCTCCAAGGGGTTACCCGCGGGGACAGCCTCAAGGGGTTACTTACCCGTGGGGACAGCCTGGAAGGGGTTACCTGCGGGGACAGCCTGGAAGGGGTTACCTGCGGTCGCAGTCTCAAAGGGTTACCTGCGGCCACGGGACATGCGCGGTCCCCTCCTGTGACTGAGGCCTCAGGAGCCGTCTCCCTGCCCCTTTCCTCCGAGGAGCCTTCAGGAGAGGCTGCAAGGCTCCTGTTCCCAACACCCATGCACCGCTCACCTCCGTTGGCCAGTTCGCCTTTTGCTGTATTTTCCTCTTGTTTTCCTGAATTATTTAAGAATTAATGGCGGCACAGCAAAAGAAACTGACAAAACAAGCAGGCAGCCAACCAGATGGGAGACGATATTTGTAAACAGTAGCTCTGACAAAGGTTTAATTTCCAAAATGCATAAAGAACTCATAAAACTCAACACCAGAGGAGAAACCAAGATGGCGGCATAGGTAAGCACCAGAAATTGCTGCCTCACACAACCACTTCAAAAATACAACTAAAAGACAAAACGGACATCATCCAGAACCACAGGAAGGCTGGCTAAGTGGAAATTCTACAACTAGAAGGAAAGAGAAAAGCACACTGAGACTCAGAGGAGGTACAGAAGTAAAGTGCAGAGGTACGGAAGCGCACGTGGAAAGGTCTGGCAACTGAGGAAACGGTTGTCTTTTTCAATCTGGAGGGAGACACAAGCTCCCGACTGCTCTGAACTCCAGTTCTGGGCGAGTCTCTGGGGACCCAGACTCATACGGGAAAGAAACTGGACTGTCTGGCATCAGTCGGAACTCGAGGGCAGCTTTCGCTCAGAGGTGCTTGCAGCGATTACCACAGGACACTGAGACATGGGGCCTCTTAGGGTAGGACTGAGGATCAGCCATAGCTGCTTGCTCCACCCTTTTGATCCCCTGAGACCCTGCCCCACCCAAGCTTTTGCATATGAAAGGCCTGGCCCTTTGCAATCTGAAAATTACCTAACAGACTGCAGCTGGGTCAGAGAGACCCAGAACTTCCAAAAGAAGGCCCAAGGCCCCACAGCTGCTTGCATTGCTTCACAGCTGGGCCTCATCTAGGCACCAGGCACCTCCAAACCCCAAACAAAGAAGAGGAATCTGCAGATTTCTCCATAGCTCCTGCTGGGTAGCCTCAGGCAGAGGCTAAATTAGCACCTCCTTAGAGATCCAAGAGCCAGTGGTCAGAGTGGGACCATCCAGATTACAACTCCTCAGATCCATAAGGGACACACTCAGGGCAGACTCAGTGAGCACCAAAGCTCCACTGAAGCAAGTCTTGCCCCAGAAGGGTGTCTTCAGCACAGAAGTTCTCCCACTGTAGACACAGCTGATTCTCACAGCCAATTGGCCTGGAGGTCAATTCTTCCCAGTGATAATTACAACAATCAAGGCTTAACTACAACAAGACTGTGCACAAAGCCCACAAAGGGGTGCACCAAGAGTGTCCACCTCAGTAATTGGGGAGGCTGATCCACTGGGCCCTATAGGACACCTAGCACAGAAAGCCACTCTGTCAACACAGGGAAGCATAAAAAATGCTGAGACAAAGAAACAGGTCACAAATGACAGAAATGGAGGAAAGCAAACGACTGGATATAGAGTTCAAAACCACACTTTTAAGGTTTTTCAAGAATTTTCTAGAAACCACCGATAAACTTAGTGAGACCCTTGAGGTTATGAAAAAGGACCAACTAGAAATTAAGCATACACTGAATATTATACAGAGTTCCAACAGCAGACTAGAGGATTGCAAGAATCAAGTCAAAGATTTGAAATACGAAGAAGCAAAAAACACCCAACCAGAAAAGCAAAATGAAAAAAGAATCCAAAAATACCAAGATAGTGTAAGGAGCCTCTGGGACAACTTCAAGCATACCAACATCCGAATTATGGGGGTGCCAGAAGAAGAGAGAGAGCAAGACATTGAAAACCTATTTGAAGAAATAATGACAGAAAACTTCCCCTACCTAGTGAAAGAAATAGACTTACAAGTCCGGGAAGCACAGAGAACCCCAAACAAAAGGAATCCAAAGAGGACCACACCAAGACACATCATAATTAAAATGCCAAGAGCAAAAGACAAAGAGAGACTCTTAAAAACAGCAAGAGAAAGAAAGTCAGTTACCTACAAGGGAATACCCATACGACTGTCAGCTGATTTCTCAACAGAAACTATGCAGGCCAGAAGGGAGTGGCAAGAAATATTCAAAGTGATGAATGCCAAGAACCTACAACCAAGATTACTTTACCCAGCAAAGCTATCATTCAGAATTGAAGATCAGATAAAGAGCTTCACAGATAAGAAAAAGCTAAAGGAGTTCATCACCACCAAACCAGGATTATATGAAATGCTGGAAGGTATCCTTTAAGAAGAGGAAGAAGAAGAAAAAGGTAAAGATACAAATTATGAACAACAAATACACATCTGTCAACAAGTGTATCGAAAAATCAAGTGAATAAAAAATCTGATGAACAGAATAAACTGGTGATTATAATAGAATCAGGGGCATAGAAAGGGAATGGACTGACTATTCTCAGGGTGGGAAGGGGTGTGGGGGGTGCGGGAAGAGACTGGACAAAAATTGTACACCTATGGATGAGGACAGTGGGGGGGCGGGTAAGGGCAGAGGGTGGGGTGGGAACCGGGTGGAGGGGAGCTATGGGGGGGAAAAGAGGAACAACTGTAATCTGAACAATAAAGATTTAATAAAAAAAATTAATAGCAAAAAGCTTGGCACATGAACTTGGCGTTTTAATGCTTTAGCATGCATTTCCCAACCACAAGGGCATTCTCTGACATCATCTCAATGATCACCCTCAGAACGTTTAATCAATATTAAAGTTCTATTACATTATTGGATGATGTTCCGTCCACAGTCACACTTTCCCGGTGTCCCAGAGATGTGTCTTGCAGCAGCGTGTTCCTTCATGCAGGCCCCAGGCAGGGAGCATGCCTCACGCCCAGTAGTCCTGCCTCTGGTCTTCCCTGGAGCCCTTCTCCAGCTTCTGGAAGAGTCCATCCGTGGTGGAGGGATTAGTGGGAGGCGGAGGGGTAGTGGGAGGCGGACTCTAGGACATCAGGAGCTGCCTTTTCCTTTCTGTGTTCTCAGCCCCTGGTACCCAGCCTGGCTGTCAATACACAACAAGTGCATACTGATGAGATGAGTAAGGCTGCCCAGAGGGGCTGAGAAAATGGCTTTTATTAAGTAAATTTACCAGGGTGACGTTGGTTAATATTATATAGGTCTCAAGTGTAGAATTCGATGATACTTCATCTGTATATTGCGTTGTGTGCCCACCACCCAAAGTGAAATCTTCTGTCACCATATATTTACCCCATTCCCCCCTGCTCCCAATCTTTCTGGGCTGAGAAAGGTGAGCCTAGTCCTCTGTGCAGTGGTGAGCAGGTTGAGAAACTTTCGTTCAGCAGCTGTTCTTGGCACGGAACAACTGCGGGGCCTGCCCCAGGCGCTTAGAGGGCAGTGATTGAGCCTCCAGCGTCTTTGGCATTGAAAGGGCCCAGCCCAGGAGGAGGTTCAAGAAAGTGCCTGGCACGTTCAGGAGGACCCCTGCCCTGTTTTCTCGCCCTGACCCCATCCACATGGACTTTAAAAAGGTGACCTGGGAGGGCCTTTATTATTAAGAGCCTAAGCAAAACTAAATTAAGAAGGTTGATGTGCTGAAAATTTCATTTAAATATTTTCAAAGCCTCCGACCAAAGCCTCAGTTGACCTCGCTTGTGAAGTCTAAAACTGAGAGAGAGAGATAGGTGCCTCACTTCCCTGCCTGGCCCCTACCCCGGGGTCCTGGGCTTGTGCTCTTTTTATTTTATTTTTTATTATTTATTTTATTGATTTCAGAGAGGAAGGGAGAGAGAGAGAAATGTCAATGATGAGAGAATCATTGATCGCTGCCTCCTGCACACCCCACACCAGGGATCAAGCCCGCAAGCCAGGCATGTGCCCTTGACTGGGATCAGACCTGGGACCCTTCAGTCCACAGGCCAACATCTATCCACTGAGCCAGACCAGCTAGGGGTGGACTTGTGTTGTTGCAGTTCCTCCTCATCTTGCCTCTGCTGTGAACACTTGCTGTCGGGTCCAGCTGTCACCATGTCCTGCGTAGCTCTGTCCCCAGCACAGAGATGGAGCGTACACATTTGACAGGCGATGAGACCTTGGCTTCGCTTGTTTCGGTTCTCTACTCCCCTGCCTGCGGAAGAGAGATGTTTTCCAGTCCAAAAGGGCTGCTGAGGAGCTGTGAGGGTCCTGCTGGGGTGGGCTGGCAAACCAACACTCAAAGGAGGGTCACATGCCCTCATGAATCTTTTCGGTGTTTTCCTGATCATTCAGCTCATCACATGCAGGTGTGGGGTGCAGGAACTTGCAGCAGAGGGATGGGGTCCTTTTGCATTTACTTGATTCACCCCCATCCAGGCAGGAAACCCCTGCCTGGTGTTTCGTTGTGTTCCCCAAGCACCCAGCATATGCCTCGGCTCCCTGGGAACGTGGCGCATATTTGTGGATGAGTCAAGTCACGCAGATCCGTTGCAAGTGCCATCTGACCTCTCTCCCCGCTGACCTGCCGTCTGATTCCTTGTCTCTACTTGACCTAAATCATAGCCATTAGCCAGGAAGTAATGTTTCTACAAGTCACACTCCAGAGGCCCTCATTAATTTATTAGTCCACTCGAAAGTCACTGAGCCGTTAGGGAACGTGCTGCAGGAATTGGGCTGAGCAGACCCTCTCCTTGGCCTTAGTTTGTTAAGATGGGAAAAGGTCTTGTTTGCAGCCTCCCCACGAGGTGTTTTGGTTTTTGCTTCAGAGGCTGAAGGCAGCCGTCCACTACACCGTGGGCTGTCTTTGCGAGGAGGTTGCCTCGGACAAGGAGGTGCAGCTCAGCAGACAGACCATCGCGGCGATTTCGGAGGTGACCTTCCGGCAGTGCGGTACGAAGCCCTGGCCTCCCTGCGTGGGGATAGGGGCCCAGGGGTTGTTTGCCTGAGAGAATGTGTGGGTGGGTGCCGTGGGTATGTCACCACCGCTAGCACAAGATCACTGACACTGTTCACGACACAGTTCTTTTCCTGGCTGTCAGACTTAGTTTATGGAAGAACTATTTTTTTCTATTACACTAACACTGGGGCATTAGCACCTTTATTTTATTGTGTTTTAAACTGCCTGGAACATTAGACATTAAATTTTTTTTTAGACATTAAATTTTTTATTTCCTCGCTTTATAACATTTTTATATCGCCCATAGTTTATTTGACAGGTGAACTTGTGGCATTGGTATTTGCTTGACTTCACAGGAAATTAATGTCCTCCAAGCCCTAACTTGTAGCAAAATGCAAAGTTAAGGGATAGTTTCTAGGAATGAAGGTGTAGCCACAACTACCAGGAAGCTTGTAATAAAGGGTCAAGGTGCCGAAGGACAAGGAGGTCATAGTGAGTCAATGGCTCAAGGCGCCTGTGCAGTGGGGCTTCCTGGAGTGTCCCCTCTCACTTGGAGAGGGTTGTTGTATCAGTTACTGTACTTACTGCAGAAATCGAGAGAGATTTCACTTTTTCTCCTGAAATAAGACTGAGATAAGGGTAGCTGAAGCGCATCTCTTTTTCTCTTTCAGAAAGTTTTGCCAAAGACCTTGAAATGTTTGCAAGGTGGGTACAGAGCTTGATTACCTGCTACTGTGTTTGTTACATTCTATTGATCCTCTCCAGCTGGTGGTATATTTCAGGAGAGTTTTTTTTTTTTGTTTTTTTTTTTTTGCATTTTGTGGAGGCTCATCTCTAATCACGATTCCACAGGAATATAACATCTGCTTTAATCACGTCCATTCAGGCTTGATTTTGCATTTTTTTTGAAAATTTCCAAGTATTTTTTGATCAGTTCTAGGTTTAAAAGGCATGAATGATGTCTCTGGGACTCTGAATGTGCGGGGCTTTTAAGACCATTTCTGCAGGAGGGTGTGATGCTAGCTAGGGTCTGGTCCCCGTGCCAGGCCAGGCTGCACTTTGCGCCAGGCGGTGATTGCTGGCAGGTGGCCGGATGATGACAGCACGGTCCCCCGCTGGCTTGTTCCGAGTGAGCTGTACACTCCTTGAAAAGAGGGTGACTTGCTTTCAGCTGGTAAAGCTTTAGCTTTTACAGGTGATTTATGCTCATCTCTTCAATTAGTACCTCAAGTAATTGAAAACAATTGCAATGAATTGCTTTTATGAAGCAATTTGAATGACTAAGGCCTGAAAGGGCCAAAGCTTTCTAATTTGCTGCCGCTTCTGATTTGGTGCCAGCCTCTCACACCCCACACTTTTCACCTTGCTCCTCGAAGCTCTCTGTTTCTCGGGTGAAATTAATGAATGAATTAAAGCATAGGTTCTCAGAGGGCGGGCTCTAAATCTCTCCTATCCTGTATATATGAGTCCCTAAAAACTGCTTAGCATCTTCAACTTGGCCAAAAGGGATAAGATAATATGGGATACTGATAGCTCGTGTGGTTTATTCATTGTTAATTCAGGCGGTTGCCCCATATGTGTGGCCCATTATCCCCAACCCCTCTGTCTCCTGTGAAATGCACTTACCACCATTACTTGCCATTTCTTTTCTCTCTTTTTTAAAGATGTTTTAAATAAAACTCTTTTTTTATTTGAAAGGGAGACACGAAAGTCTAAATAAGTAGGCAGATTTGATCTGAACGTGAAGCGTGGTGAATAGGAGCAGGTTTCTCACTGCAGCACGCTGCCCTTCGGACAGCAGGAGTGCTGGGGTGCGGGACTGGCCGAGCACTGAGGGTGCGTACTAGCGGCTCTGGCCTCTGCTCGCCACTGGTGTGCCCCCCCCCCCCCATTTCTGTGTTAGCTGTGGGACAAAGCAATGAACATTTTTAAATGCTTCTGCAAAAATATTGGAAATAAAAAAGAAGTTAGAAATATTTAGCATTGAATCACTGAGCGTTCAGTTCCTGTTTTTATAATCACATTAAAAGGTTGATTTCTTTGCCTGGTCCTGGGGGGAAAGTGGTGTGTGTGTCACTCAGACTGGAAGCTCCGCAAGGAAGGACATCATCTTCTAAATCAGCGGTTCTCAACCTGTGGGCCGCGACCCCTTTGGCGGTCGAACGACCCTTTCACAGGGGTCACCTAAGACCGTCCTGCAGATCAGATATTTACATGACGATTCATAACAGGAGCAGCATTACAGTTATGAAGTAGCAACGAAAATAATTTTATGGTTGGGTCACCACATGAGGAACTGTATTTAAAGGGCCAGAAGGTTGAGAGCCACCGCTCTAAATGAAGGCGTCTGTGTACGGCTGTCAGCGGCTGCTGTCCGGGTGACACCAGCGGAGGCTGCACTAACTGCAAGAAGCCGCAGCTTCTGCCGTGTCCACGTGTGCACACGTGTGCATTCACTGCCCCCTCAGACTCCCTCCCAGCACCCCGAGTGGATGCAAGAGCAAATGTTCTTTGAAGACTCAGCCTTTGTCTTAATTTTACGTTGGTTTTCATAATATTCCTGTTTGTTCTCATATAAAAAAAATCCTGTTTTAAAGCTCATCACTGAATAAAATGGATATCCCCAGAGGTCAGCTTTGTTTGTCCTGTGGCTTTGAGTTTTCCCCCTCACCCAGGCTCTACTTCTGGAACTATGTTACTCTGAGAAGTCTGAAATATGTGTTCTTTAGGCTTCTCATAGTAATCAGAGTTCTGCAAGTATTCGGTAATCTTTGTAGGCTGGCTGGGAACCTAACCATTGTTTATGTGAGAAAATACATTTAAATTCTGAATAACCAATTCACCTATAAACTTGGGAAAATCATCTTAATTTAAGTTATGAATTTCTCTTATTTAGCTCTGAAATCTCCAGTCACCTAGTATTGTTAATGTGTTACAGATGAAATGCTTTGAAGAAGATACTCTGTAGTAAGTAAATTCTAGGAACATCCTATATAATAAAAGGCGAATATGCAAGTTGTCCCCTCGGGAGTTCGCCAGCCGGGAGTTCAGCCACTTGCTATGATGTGCACTGACCACCAGGGAGTGGCGCTGAACGAAGGAAGGCCCCGATCGGCCCTGATTGCTGGCCAGGCTTAGGGACCCTACCTGTGCACAAATTTTGTGCACTGGGCATCTAGTTTTGGTAATCATCTTTAAAACCTAAAAGTGTTAATAGGAAAAATGGCTTTGTTCTTTTCCCTAGAAGTTTTGTTGGGTCAGGAGTTTGAATTAGGAGTGTCTGGTGTAGAGTGACCGGCATAGAACATACCCGCCCTCTGTGGAGGAAAGTATCAACACCACACGTGGCAGAGACACTAGATGAGCTGCGTGGTAGAGAGGACTTCGTTGTTCCCTAAACAATTCTTTGTGAAGAGATAAGCTCACCTTACTCTGGAACTAGTTCAGTGTGCTGCTCCCTTTTACTGCACTTCACCAAGAATGAAATACTGACAGAGCAGCCTGACGGTGTGACTGAGGCGAGGGCCACATGTGGCCGTGGCACTTAACATACTCCACCCAGGACCTCAGCGGAGTAGCCTCACGTTGTGGCTGCTGCTGTGTCACCTGGCTGACTCCCCCTCTCTATTGTGGTCCTTGCAGGTGGCTCATTGGAAGTATCTCCTGAAATGGACATTATCTCAGGACAGGCAGCTATTGTCCATCAGAATAAAATGACACGTAATATTTGCACATTTAGCAGGATGGGAAGGAATAATTTGACCAAGTGATGGAGTATAATTTCTGCATGACTTTATCTTTAATTCAACAGATATTTAGTGTTGACTACTATGTGCTGGCCACTTAGGAGTACAAAGATTCCAATCTATTCCTATGTACAAAGTTCCTATTTATTTTTGAAGGAAGTTAGAAATGGCAAGAAAGGGTGTAGAGTTATAAGTTACTGAATAGAGCTTATTATCTAATTACCTTAAATTTTTTAAACATTTATTGATTTTAGACAGAAAGAGAGAGAGAGGGAGAAGAAAGGGAGTGAGGGAAGGAAACATCTATTTGTTCCGCTTATTTATTCATTGGTTGCTTGTATGTGCCCTCACCCAGGATCGAACCCTGAACCTTGGCGTATCAGGACGATGCTCTAACTTGCTGAGTGCCCTGGCCAGGGCTCAATTCACCTTTCCAAGCAAAGATAGGAGGATTGGACTGAGAATTTAAATCCAAGTTATAAGCAAGAAACGACTCTGGTTTAAAGGATGTCCTTTGTTCTAACCAGGCTCTTGCCGAGGGAGCCCCTTACCTCCTTGAGGGGAAGTGGGGTGTTAGGAGACATCTGCCCACGCTCTTTGCTGTAAGTTAGTCCTGGGAGAAGAGCTTCAGGATCTGATCTGAGAGAAGCCAGGCCTCACGGAAATTCTCTTTATTCTTCTACTTAACGTCTCTTAAGCAGAGGCGGTCTTTGTGTTGTGAGACTGCGTTCCCTCTTTTCACTGGAGGTGCAGTGACCTTGCTTTTTCTGTGGTGTTTGCTGTGACCAAGGTGACCAAGCATCCTGCGGAAGGTTAATGCCTCGGGCTCCTGGCCGTGCTTGTATTCCTCGGGCACCCTCGGGGGAGGTGGGCAGATGGGCTTGGCTTTCTCTCGGTCTCTCTAGTCACTTCATTCATTTTTGTGTCTCTGTTGCTTAATGACCTTAATCTGAAAAGATGGGCTACTTAGAGATCCTTGCTAGCCTGCAGTCTGACCATGAACTTTTGTGTTTCATCAAAACTTTAAATAATACCAAACATTTTGGTGAATTGTTTCTGCCCTTTCTACAGACATGCGAAAAGAAGCACAATTAACACGGAAGATGTGAAGCTCTTAGCCAGGAGGAGTAATTCACTGGTGAGAGATGAATTTCTTCCCTCACTCCCCTTTCCCATCAGAATACATTATTCCCAATTAATCACTTGCAGCCATGAAGTGATTCCCCAGGGCACCTTGCATTAAAAACGAGAGATGGTTGAACCGTTCAGACCTGCCTGTAATTTATAGTCTTCCTTTCATTAAGATGGATCTTGCCAAGCCAATTTTAAATTTTCTAATCAGCACTCTCTGGATTTCACAGTTTGCCTTTTTGTAATATCTCAAAACTTTGGTCCCATGTTTCATTCACAGCGTGATGTCAGCGATGGGCACAGGCTAGAGTGAATGGGGATAGTTATGTGCCCTCAGTTTTCCGAGGGCCCAGGTATTGAAGGAATATCGGGACAGCCAGGATGGGCAGGAAATAGTCTGTCTTTTCAAAGAAGTCTGGGAGTCATCTTGACCACGTCCTCGTTTACAGGGGATGCTGTGATCCCCCCAGCCCAGTGGCTGTGATGACAGCAGATCCAGGACGCCCTATGAGGTTCCCTCACTTAGTCCGATCCTAGCAGTTAAAATACTTTCTGTTCCTCCCCATAATGTGAGCTCCACGAGGACAGGGATTTCTGCCTCTTTCTTCTCTGGTCCGTCTGCTGTGCCAGACTAAAGACGGGCACACAGTAGGTGCTCAGTAAGCAGTTGTTGAGTGAATTTCTGCAGCAATTGACTGTTGATAGGGTTTTTAAAAAATAAATATTTATCATGCCATCCAAGCCTCACAATCACCCTATGAGGATTAACAACACAAGTCATTAACCCATTTTACAAACCAGGCAACTGGAGTTGGTAACTTTCCATAGTTAAATATGAAGCTCTCGGGTTGACAGCTGAACCTTGACTTTCTAAACCCTGAACAGTGCTGTTTCTACTGGGCTCTTTGTGGCCTTTGCCCTTCTAACATTCTTTCTCCAAAGTTTACGTCAAGGTTGGGGATGAGATGATTCCCAAGTACAATAGGTAAGGTGCCTGGTGGTGCAGTGAACCAGTGGGAAAGAGAGTCTCTCTTCATGAGTTGCGAGTCGTAACTGCTACTTGGTCAGCTGCAGTGAGCAGTTCTATCTTTTGCAAAGAAATGATCAGTGCAAGTCCTCTTGGAGTACAACCTGCTATTGCTTATTTGTTTATGTTAGACTACGGTTTTGTTTTGGACTCTTATTTTTTTTCATCTGACAGAAGCTTATTAATGAAGACATGCAGCTAAATGTGTGCATTTGACTAAACTGTCCCTAAAGGCACTTACCTTATATCCCTGGTATGTGGTACATAGTAGTTGCTGAACAGTTTTAGTTGGATAAATTGGGGGGAGGGGTTGACCAAATTTGTGTTTTGTACAGTATATTTGTGATGGCATGCCTTCTGCAAGCTTCAAGTTTTAATTCATTGATTACTCAAGGAACTCCTTCCTGGCGGTAGCACATGTGAGCAGCAGTGAGTTGCCTTGTAGTTGATTCGGCTTCTGGAAGAAATGTGAGGCTCTGTCTAACCCTAAGGAATGTGCGCCAGGCTCTTCCCCCCACATTCTTTCAGTGGGAGTGGTGGGGAGATGGTGCAGATTCATCCCCTAGACTTACAAAATGGCTTTGCAACCAGATAAAAATATCATTTTTAATATTTTTTTTTTGTAGCTAAAATACATCACAGAGAAAAGTGAAGAGATCACTAAGTTTAATGTAGAACGAAAAACAAAGAAGAAAAAGAAATTGGAGGATGAAAACAAAGATTCGTTGGAGCCAGCAGAGGCTGGAGGAGTGGGCAGTGAGAATTAAACTCTGTTACCGCTTGGACAAAGCAGCCTCAGCAGGGAGAGCCTCCGAAAACGCATATTGCCACCAAGGGAACTTGGAAGGGAGAAGAGATTAAACAACAAAAACAAAAAAAGAGGCGAGGGGGCCGTTTGTGCTCTTTCTCCAAGTCAGTGACCGCAAACTTTAAAAGAGAATGGGAAAGGCAAGCAGAATGCTCCCATCCCGCGTCACTGAAGCACATGGAAAGGTTCGTATTTCAGTGGTGTGTGTTGGAAGTTGTATCTATTGCAATTAATAAAATTGTGTTGGCAGTTAAATATGGTTGATTTTTTTTCAAGCCAAAATCAGTCATTTCTTAATTCTTTTACGTAATTTTTTAGGCTGACAATTCCTGAAAATGAATAAAGCTGTATTTATTTAGTTCTTTTGATTACCAATGTTTTAAACCCATGTCACGTGATCACAAGGTAAAAAGGGTTGGGAAATGTTCCTGTTTACCTTTTAAGTGAGGTTTTCTCCAGAAGCACAGTTTTTGTGATTTTCCTCGGGCTGTGTTGTAATTAAACTGCTTCTGCTGGGGAGAAGTTTTGCTCGAGGAAACCTGGCCTGCGACTCCGAACACTCAGTGTGTTGTCCTCTGTCTTATTTGTGAGGTGATGCTCCCAGGAGCCCCAGTCTGCCTGCCTTTGGGGGTTGCTTAGAGGTCCAGGCCGTGCCTTCCCCTGTAGGGGCAGGAGGGTGGAGAGAAGGGACGGCATGTACAGAGCCCTTTCCCTGTGCCAGGCCCTGCTCTGGGTGCTCCCGGTCGTCCTCCCTGGATCTTCACAGCTTGTTCCGGGCACATCTGGTTATTCCCGTTTTACTGATGAGCAAGCTGAAGGGTGGAGAGGTTAATGTCTACTGACCAGTAGAGACTGTGTACATTCGGGGTGCTGATTTGAGGGGCGAGAGGAAAAAGGACATGCATTTTGGACAGGGTTTTTACCATCCATGCCCAAGTGATTAGCAAAAGACACCCCAAAGTCCGACAATCAAAAAGAGATGCCCAGCTGTGATCATAGTAAAGCATTGAATTCAAACTTTCGTTTCGGCTTCTGCAAAGAGCTAATCTCAGATGTTAATTGTAACATCTGTGTGTCACATCGGTGAAGGAAAAGGAAACCAAGAAGCCTTCCATCTTTGCAGGACATTCCAGCCAGAGATCTGTATGTTGGTTTCATTTTCAGATAAACTCTCTTAAAACTCCTCCTCAGGGAGAATCTAGAGACTAGATACCATGGACTTTCCAGAGGTTGACAGGCCTAGATTTGCACCCTGCTTTTGCCACTCTAGTAGCTGTATGGCTTTCTGAAACTCTGTGTTCTTACTCGTAACAGTGACTAGGGTTAAAAATCCCTGGCAGTGAGGTATATGTGACAGGAAGAGGGGGTGGGAAAGGCCGCACCGCCTCATACACAGCGATGTCCAGGAAGAGTTCATCGGAACATGCCTAGTCCCTCTACTGACGGTGGAGTCCACAAAGAACCCTTAGGGTCGTTAAGTCCATCTTCCCACCAACTGCGAACCCCTTCCGCCGCATTCCCGGGGTGTGGCTCCCCAGGCTCTGCTGAACTCCAGGGACGAGAGCCCTCTCTTATTGGACACTAATTCCAAGTTTCTTCTGTTGATAGGGAAAACTCTTCCCCCTCCTAACTTCTCTCTGGGTCCTGTTCTGCCCTTTAGAATGAGCAGCCTTCGTTTTCCTTTTAATCAAAGTTCCCATGGTATCTCTTTTCAGAAACACACATTCTTGCATCAAACATTGGATGATCAGCTGCCCGAAGGCAGACTTCGGGTGGTGAACGGTGGTCGCTCGGTGCTGGTGCGGCGCCTGGCACGGTGGGCACCGGGGAAGACTTGTGCCCTGGAGTCCAGGATGTGCTCGCGGGATAAGCTGGAGCCCTTGCTTAGGTTACTTGGTTCCAACCAGGGGTCTCTAGCGCTCATAGTGAAGAAGAGCCAGAGCTGGCACAGAGGACACCCAGTCTGCACTGAGCGGTGGCACCGTCCTCAGGAGGAGAGTGCGCCCAGGAGCTGGTCAAGTGCGGGTCGTTCAGTAAAAGATGTTTTACACCTGACACGAAGCAGTATATTTAATCTTACTCTTCGTGATGCACTCTAATTTCTGTTCATTCAAAAAAAGTGCTAGTTTCTGACCCGCTAGTGGGTGGTCAGTAGCAGTTTGAAAAACACTGGACTTGAGCCTGGCCACTCCGGTGTCAGCATCACCCGGGTGCTCGCTAGAATGTGGGGCCTTGGCCCTCCTGGCACAACATGAGAATCTGCTTTCTAGTCTTAACCTCATTTAGGCGGTTTGGTTCACATCACAGTTCGAGAAGGCCTGGGCGGGACGATAGCGTCTGGCCTGCTGGCTGGGGAACCATCACTGGGTTGTCCTTGCCTGCGATTTGGCGAAACCAGGCGATGCTGGTCTAAGTGGCTCCCTGAGCCCTCTTGCCTCGTTTCTTCTGCCCGTAGCAGAGTCAGCCCTTCTCTTTATGGGCAGAATTGCAGGTTGTCAGCTCCTTACCCAAGGCGAAATGTATACCATGTGGAATTGCTCGGTTTTGTCGGCACGGCCTCCTGCTTGCTGTGGGCATGATTAGGAGGATGTGGGACTTCTTTAGAAGCAAGTGCACGTGAATTGCAAAGGAAGAGCAAATCGGCTCTAAACACAGCAAAGACCCGCGTCTTTAATGAAGGGTTAAGTCCCACCCAGAAGCGCCTTTGTGGGCACGGATTGCTCTGGCATCTGCGTCACTGCTTGAGTGTGAAGGAGGAAGGGGTGCAGGCTTCACACAGGTTAGTATACAGAAAACCAGCTGCAGGTTGAGCTAAAAATACCCCCAGGCTCCAAAGAGACCCACGTCCACAAAACACCGATTTCAGGGCTGCCAGGAAAGACGAGCAGCCGCAGAGCTGGAGAGGAGCCAGTCAGCCCGCAGGATGCCGCTGCCCCTCTGCCTGCTGCTGCTGCTGCTGCTCTCCGCGGCCACCGCTGCCCTGCCTCCGGAGGGTGGCCCTGCTGGCCAGGACAGCGACAGGGAGGTGAGTAGCCCCGACTTGGCCACATGCTAGCCCACTTTCTGGCTGTCTCGCTGCCTGGCCTGTTTGGCCACGCCTGGGGACTCCCTGGCACCCGCACGGCTGAGGGTGTCGGACGGGCTGCGGGCTGAACCTCAGTGTTCCCTGCTGCCCTGGGGTCCTGTGGTGTCACAGACCATGGAGTCTCGCTGAGCGCGGAGCCGAGGCGGCTGGGAAGTTCTGAAGCTCAGGCGGGCTTGCTCATGCTAGCGGCCTCCATCTGCTGGTCTGTGAACGCTCAGGGATTGGACCAGTCTGCTGTACTGCGAGCATGGCGCTCACTGCACTGTTAAGCCACACACACTTCTAGAGTCTTAATTTATACACCCGGCCCATGTTCTCACCGGCTCGGATGAATTGACATCGTTACTTTTTCACTGTGAGAACGTGCAACTTCATGGGGTGATTTATTTTTCTCTTTTTTCCATTTTGAAAAAGTTCCAAGGAGAGTACATAAAGTTGACCATTAAAAATGGATTTTTCTCTGAAATTACCAGATGAGTCTCAGACAGGTCATTTATCATCAGATTACTCCTGGAACCTTTCGAAGGAGTTTGAAAGACCAGGATATAACGTCTCAATCTGATCTGTCTTGAAGAGCAATTTGTGGACGGCCAGGAGGAAGGCCAGAGAGGGAAAACCTGCTCATCTAATTACCTGACCCACCCCGGGGCTCCTGGGCTGCCACTTATCGGGGAAATGGCAGGTCTCCTGACCGCTTCAAATTAAGGACCTCAGCAAAGATTATGGGAAAAACAAGTCGTCTTTTTCTTTCCATGATTGAGAATTCTCAACTTTTCCTTTAATTAGAGCAATGCTGTTAAGGTGTTCTCTTAACTTCCTCACCCTTTAAATGGATACGTGATTTATTCTGGAGCAATTTTATTTTTTTGAAGGAAGGAAGGATGGAGGTATTTGTCTTCAGTTGCTGGCTGAGCCAGATGGTTGATTTTTCTTTGTCCTCTGCTTCTTTTCAAAAGCATTTGCAGGAAGTGGCAGAAATGAAGAACAGCCTGTTGACTTTCCTGGCTTGGTGGTCTGCGTGGACATCCCAGGCCAGAGCAGCACCCTTCATGGGAGGGGCGGCCGGGGAGGTGTCCAGGCGGCAGGAAGGCCCGCCCCCGCAGCAGTCCGCGCGCCCAGATAAGGTGCCCTGCAAGAACTTCTTCTGGAAGACCTTCTCCTCCTGCAAGTAGAACCCTACCGATTACTCATGCAAGGAAGTGCAACGATGGAGCCAAATAAAATGTATTAAGCAGCCGTGACCATTCTTTATGCAGTTGCCTTCTTGTTTCTGTGTAATTTGAAAAGTATTTTTAATTTAAACTCCAGCGGTGCCCAATACTGAATGTCTTGAGTAATCTGGAACCCAAAGTGAATATTTTTGATAGACTTTTGTGGGTTTTGCTGTATTGTGCTCAGTGCAGCCACGGGCCTTCCCCCCCACCTTCATTCTCTCTTCCTTCCTTTGATTTAAAACAGCTCAAGGCTATATATTTAAGGGTTCAGAATAACATATCAGTTCATATTGATATAAATTGTCTAATTTAAAAGATATTGCCCTCATGTTAAAAGCCAATTTTTAACACCACTCAAAGAGCAAAATAGTTATTATTCATGATTTAGCAAAAATTTATATAGAAACAAATGCCATGCTATTAAACAGACATTATGCTGACATGTTCATAAAAGTCACATTCGAACCTGCTGTTGCATACATACTCGTTTTAATGAGTCAGTTAATCATTCGTTAGAATTCTTTTCATGGATGAGCGCTTCAGGTTTATTTCAAACCCAAAACAGCGAGCCGTGCTGCTGGCTGGTGCAGCCTGCTGGCCTCCTCCTCCTCCAGGGACCTGCGGTCCCAGGTCCAGACCTTGTTTGCAGACAGCGCCTCTGTGTTGGCATGCATTGTAATTGTTATATTTTCCCACTCCTCACCAATCTCCCACAGAAGTGACCGTGAGTGATTGTTCGAGGAGGGGGATTCCTTTCTGGGATGGAACGCAGAGCAACGTTGAGCCCAGGAGGACCGGGATTTTGGTCGGCTCAGGAAAAAGGAGTAAACAAGTTGCTCTGTTTCAAAACCCTCATCAAATTTTTAATTCTTCCCCCACATCACCGAAATCCTTGCTTGATTATGCATATTTATAACTCTTGAGTCATAGATTCTAAAGAAAGCTTCCAGGGTGAG